CTTTTTTTTATTAGTTTTACAATAAGAAATTGAAGGCACAGACAACAGGACTAATAAAGTCCCAAATTAAGTCCTGCCATACATGAAAATACTACGCTATACTATGCTATACTATACTATAAACGGTTATAAAATTAACAAAATACATAGCTAGTTACATATTTACGGTATTACACATAATTACATTCGTACAAAAACTCAGAACATGCACTTCTACGAACAACAGGACGTAAAACAAGAACGACATTTAGAGCAAAACGTTTTCCAAGTCCTTGGCCTATTAACATCAAAACATGCATTAACTTTTTGAGTGTAGTGATTATAGAGTTTAAGTTTCAGTGACTGAATTGAGAGAGACGATTTTATTTCTCCTGGCAGGCTGTTCCAAAGTGGCACTATCCTATTGAAAAATAGGTTTCGGAAAGAAGATGTTCTGCAACGGTTTGGTCGGTATGAATCAGTAGAGCTAAAGCGAGTGTGATGATTAGTAGAATTGACCAGAATATAGTCTTCAAGTGTTAAGTCATAATAACCAGCTTTGCATTTATAAAAAAACGTAATATCTTTTATTTCGAACCAGTATGAAATAGGCAGTAGGTTAAGTTTCTTTAAACGGTTGGTGTAAGATGAGTTGAAGTCTTGAAGGATATATTTGGTTGCTCGTCTTTGGACACTTTCAAGACAAAGAAGGTCCCTAGATGTTGTTTGGGGTGCCCAAATTTCACTGCCATAGCACAGGTGTGTACGAACAAGTGTCAAATAGAGAGAACGTCGACAGTTTGTATCAGTTAAATATGTGCAGTTACGTCGTAGAAATCCAAGCATGCGGTTTGCTTTGGAAACAATGTTAGAAATATGAGGCGACCATTTTAGGTTCTTCGTAATAAGTATACCAAGATCCTTTTGAGTTGATTGAAAAGGGATCTGACTGGAGCATAAAAAGTAATCGGGAGACTCAATACAACGTTTCCGTGAAAATCGTATTCCAGAACATTTCTTCAAGTTGAACTTTAACTTCGACGTAGAAGACCAAAGACACAGGGCTTGAAGATCTGATTGGAGGAGATTAGAGTCGTGTGGATTGTTTATGATTTTATAGCATTTACTGTCGTCAGCAAACATTGGTATTCTTCGGTGTTTTGCTGCGTCAGGAAGGTCATTAACGTAGATCAAGAAAAGCAATCGGCCAACAATACTGCCTTGAGGAACACCAGATGTTACATCGAGGTAACTTGATGAGAAACCATCAACTACCACGCGCTGTTTACGTGCAGACAGATAGTCAGAAAACCAGTCTAAGAGCGGCCCAGTAATACCAAATTGGGAGAGTTTAAAAATAAGTTTATCGTGAGGTACCGAATCGAAAGCTTTGGAAAAATCTAAATAGATCATGTCCATTTCTTTACTGCAATCTAACGCCTTACCAATGTTGTAAACAACGTCAAGAAGCTGAGTAATACAAGATTTTCCCGAACGAAAGCCGTGTTGTGTAGTTTTAAACAAGTTTTCGTTGGCAAACTCTTCCCTGTCTTGTTTTATCAAACTCATTTCTTGGGTTTCATGGTGCTTCGGTTTGTGTTTTGTTTGTACTGAATTGAGTAATGGTTTTTAAGTGCTAGTTTTGCCAGGTTTTTGAAATAGCGGCTATCTAATAGGTTGTGAGTGTACAGCCTGACAGCCAACCTTTCCAGCACCCTCCAAAAGTTCAGCATCAAGCACTGACAAGCAGTTTATATTATCTAACCCATCAAGTGTCAGTTCCCTTGATGGGTACAATTAAAGGTACTAGGCACTTTAATAGGGACAATGCCACTCAAAAGGTTAACCCATTAAGATGGCATGCTCTCCTATTGACAAGTAAAATTGTCGACAATTTTACCGTCCTGATGCACGGCATGCACCCCGCGGGCTGAAATTATCCTGGCTTGCAAGGTTGCATGCACCCTACTTTAGTATTTTACTCTGTCTAATGCCAGGCTATTTTACTCTTTGAGTGGAGAGTGCTTGCCCCTCAATGGATTAATCAGACAATCTGCTGATGTATCTAGTTACCCATTGCATTCAATGCATTGCACCCTGATGTATCCTTTTATTATTTTACTCTGTCTAAAAGCAGGTGTCTGCTTTTGACGTGACAAACCTCTAGAGGAATTCCAGGGGCATACACCCACGGACAATTTTGTAATCTAGGCACTATAAAAGGGCATCTCCTGCAATGCGCAGGGACATTCTATAGAATTCTGAAAATTATACTGTAATTACAAAATCTTAAGTATCATGCACTCCATCTTCCAAACTCATAAAAAGATCTTTAGTGAGAGACTTTGTTCATCTGATGAACCATAAGTATGGGTAGCCAATTTATCCCCGGGCGTTCTGTGACCCCCGTCCGCGAACATATCAGATCATGTCAGAGGCATCTGGTAAATTACTTAAATAACATCGCCCGAGACATCGCCCGAAGTTCGAAGGTTTTAGTCAAAATTCCAAAGGAATTTTACAACTTTAGAAAGTGGAAATATTTCCATAATTCCAGATACATGGGCGATCATTCCAATTCCGTATTTACCATCAAAGAACAAATATGCCTGGTTTAATTATACTAGTTTATTTTGTCTAAAAATACATTCCCATGTACATGCAAATTAACTTGGCATCCTCTGAGAAAATTCACAAACTAACCTCTCTGAAATTTGAGGTCCTTAACGTGTCTAGAAAAGCAATAAATGCCATACAATCACAATATATTATACTAAATGTGAGCGGATCGTATTATTTATATGCAGTATGTGACCACTATATATTTAGATTTTCTGCATTAGGATTTCAGCGAGTGCCGGTGGCGTGTTTGTCTAGGGCGTTACGTACGAGCTAACATGCTGCTAATTGGTGGTTCGATTCCCGCAATGGCCAATGTTTTGTTTTTCGTTTTCATATTTTTTTCTTTACGATTTTTCCTAAGATTGCCTTTATACAATACCTTTCGGTTAGATTAGAGTTACGGTCACGTTTGTTTTTTAAGTGTATTATAGTCAATTAAAATAATATCTTTAATTAATAATTCGCGCGCGAATTCAAATTGTATTAATTAATGCTAATTGCTGAGCCGCTGACATGATCTGATATGATCGCGGACGGGGGTCACGGAACGCCCGGGATAAATTGACTACCATAAGTAGGTTGTTAGTGCGGACGTTCGGTAATTTGGCAGTCATCATTTCAATTAAATCATTCTCATTCAAAATCTTTCGCCGGATTGGTTCAGTTTTTCGGCTCATTGTCTCATTTTCTCGTGTTAATTAACAACTTATCAAAGCAAATTTTATCACTGCACATTTTACATTTCATCACTGCACATTTTACTTTAATCACTGCACAAATTGGTTATAACTGCACACTAAAATTATGTATGTTGTTCAATGCAAGCTTGAATTTTTGTTTCCGTAAAACGACAGATTCGAAATGCGAAAGATTCTGTCAGTATCCACACAAAACAATTTTAATGAAAAATTCAATTAAATTATGTTTTAAAATTATACAATATATGATGTATTTAATATAATACCTATGTTTTTTAATACTAATTACAGTATATACGATTTCATCGTTAAAGCGATCTACGTATAGTCATAATGAAATATTATTTGAGACATAAATTTATTCAAAACTGCGCATCTTCTGGTAACAATCAAATAGGGAAGCACTAGGGAAAAAGGAAAAAAGCTATTTTTAGTCCTTCTATCTACGATCCTGGCAAAAGTTATTGTGAACAGCCGCATGGAAATAGAAATACCATCCTTGCACAATACAAACGTGTAAAAACAGCAATTTTTAACTTCCAAATCCCTCCCTCCCTCCTCTTCCTCCTCTTCCTCCTCTTCCTCCTCTCCCTCTTTTCCCTCCTCTCCCTCTACTCCATCCTCTCCCTCCTCTCCCTCCTCTCCCTCCCGCTCAATGTTGAAAGCTTATTAAAAATGCTAGGTGAAAACGTTGTGGAATGAATGTCAACATCAACATTGTAGGAGGAAGCAGGGGGACAAAGACGCCAACATGTGTATGTGAGGAGTGATACTTTAGTTTACTTCTATAAAGTGTGGTTTCACTTTAAAAATAAACAAGTGTTGATTCGTAGAAATTTTGAAACTGTGGGTTTGGTATGAAACACTTGCACTACACTCAATATATTATAGACACAGCTTGAAAAAATGAAACATGGCACCCCTCTCAAGCTTACCCTTACTGCGCCCTGTATCAATTTGATCTCTAACTTGCCAAGTAAGAATGCCAAAAAGCGGATTTTACCTTTGAAATATGTGGGCATTGGCAAAGGCAATTATGCAAATTTTTCTATATTTAACTGTGAAGTCGTTTCCTATTTCTTCAAGTCAAAAAATCATAAACACCCTCTTTAATTCTCTAACCATTGAAAATCATTATTTTACCTTAAAGATGCTGTAAAGTCCATTCTGCGCAGACCTACTTCCCAATGGTCGGAACCCGACCATTGGAATGTTACTAATATTTCGCACCTTCCGAATCTTTTTGAAACGTATCTCCAGTCTGTATTCATTTACAAGCATAGCAAACCAGAAGAATTAATGTTAAAAATTCGATATAAGATATAATTATTTAATCATATTTTAGAACTGTAGAACTTAGTTCAAAATGTAAATAAAGTGTTTGTTTACATTACAGAATTTACAGCATCTATAAACTAAATATCAAACTTTATATAAAAGTATCCGGTATACGTCTGGAAATGTTTCACATCGATATATCCGATGCAACCCTTTCTGGCATATGTTTCTAATTCCCATGCACACTTTTATTACAGTTTCGCATTTTGATTCGAAGCTCCTGCGCCAGCCAGCGCTCTGATTAATAAGTCTCTATACTTACAATATAGCACGTTCTATAGCATGTACTTCGTTGGTGTCCAACAGGGAGTATTGTGCATCTACTATCACAGACGTTTCTACGTAAAGATTTCATAACCTATATTCAGAAAAAATGTTCAGATATTTGCATCAGACACAGGGCCGCCGAGAGCTTGGCGGTGGCCCGGAGCAAATTTTTTTTAGGGGCCCCTATTTTTAGGGGGCCCTAATGCGTTGTAATTGCTTTCCAGTGACTTGACCAATATTTTTCATACGAAATTTCGGTACTTTGCCAAAAAAAACAAAAATCTTGCCCTTTGCGCGGAAATGTTTCACCCAAAAAAATGACTGGGTCCCAACAAAAATTTTCTAGGGGCCCCCAGAACCTGGGAGCACGGGGTAATTTGCCTCCCCCCCTGCCTCCCCCCTTCTCGGCGGTCCTGATCAGACATATCTTGCTCGCTTTTGAGCTGCATTTCGATACATTTCACACAATGCGCCGTATGGAATCAGGAATGTAGAAAATAATCATCTATTTTGTTAATTAAATTAAACAAGGCATTGACCTTATTTGGAAATATTATATGGTTACAAACTGTCATATTTCATTTCCAACGTAAACATGACTTATAATGTGCAATAATCATGTACGTACATTGTTGCAAATGATGTCACATACATGTATAGGAACACGATTTCTGCAAGTTGAAAGGCAAAGTGATCTTCGCTCAGCACAAATTGCTGTACCTAGAAAAATAACAATTTTTTTTTTAATCTATACTAAGTCTTCTTTTATATAAAGAATACTAATAAGGCAGTATCTATTCTAGTTGTGTCCTCATTAGTATTCTTTATATAAAGAACACTAATAAGGCAGTACAGTATATCTGTTGAATTTGTGGTCGTGTTTGAATTCCGTTTAATAAATTCGCAGGGCTTGAAACCTAATAAAACACTCCTGCTCGTGTATTAAACAGTACATATCTACCTGGAAAAATAGGTACGCACTGCGTACATGTGGTTAGCCTTTGGAATAAAAATAGGTACGCTAAGCGTACTTGCATTTGCGTATGGCGTTAGTGGATTATACGTCAACCAAACAGAAATCACTGAATTCATCGCGAGGACGTAGGATGATTGATACACTTTAATAGGGTGCGGGTTTTCACAAGGTGCCACCATAATTTCAAAAAACTTTCAAACATGATTTAACAGATTATGCAATCATCAAAAATAGAAAGCCCCTGCCCTCCAATTCACCCCTGGGACCGAATACCTTGTCAACAGCAAATATATCCCGCGTTCCGCATCTTGTACATCAGTAAGTTAAAGTTCAACGTAGTTTAGTATAAGATACGACAATAACTAGATAACAACTGTTTGGGGTCTCGGTTAGACAATGGCAAGTAAAATACTTTTAAACAGAACATCATCAACATTTGATTCCAGAATGTAATTTCCTTGTGTAAATTTATGGTGTGAAACAATTCTTGAACGATTGATCTCAATCGTTACACTCATATTTTCAGTCAAGTTCAACAGTCAAGGTTGTTTTGTTCAAGTTCAACAGTCAAGGTTGTTTTATAGCTACACAAATATGGCAAGGTTGGTTTTGTTTAATTGCACAATGGCAAGTTTGATTTGATTTTATATTTCAGTTTCTATTTCAGTTTCTATTTGATACGTGGACCTCTCGTAAGCGCCTGATGTAAGATCAGTGCAAGCAACAATGCCAATGGCATGAATATCCCCCCATCCCTCCCAATTATCGTTCTGGCTACGCCACTGGCCTAATCAAATATTTTTGACCAGAGCAGACCAAAATTGCGATGTTTTTAGCATTATAATTGACTAGAGATGGAAAATAATTGGTTTACCTGTATTTGTGATGAATTATTGATGTTTTATTCGCAGATCTGTGGACTGTGCATTACTATATCAATATCATCGCCTCATGGCATTAACGACAGTTTCCGAAGTAAAGTCGAACACGCTCCGTCACAACTTCACGACTTCACAACGTTTTTCGGAGCGTACATAATGTTTAGCCCGCGAACGGGCCACAAACAGTGCAATTGAACGCAGAATTGAACGTCATCATGGCCCAGCAGTAAACAGTAAAATTAAATATATTACATGATGTTTCAATTCGTGCTGGTTGCAGATCAAAATCTGTAGAAATATCTAGTGTAATGTTTGCTCGGTTTATGTCGCTGCCTGTTCTGCATTTTCGTTTCTCCCTGGTAATAGTTGGGCGGTATTCCAGTTATACTGTATAAATAGACTCAAAAAATAAAATTAAAAATGTGTAAAAAGTGCAGGTAGTAACTGAAGTCAAACCCACATTATAATGAATACTTCGACAGACTTTTTTCAGTTAGCTTGAGGCAAGGTGAATGCAAACAATCTATTTTTTTTTTCAAATTCTCGATTAACAACGTGGCGTTATATAATTCACTGTTTACTGTTGAAGAATTATATTATTTCCACTTGATACTCAAATTGTAAAAGAAGTAGAATAAACCACGTACGTCCACTATGTATGATTTCTCAGGGGCTGACCTACGATTTTTCGTACGTTAGTAAAAAATTTCGTTGCTGAACATCGGGGGGGTGGTGGTATGAGGGGGGTAGTTACTTTTGGCAGCCGAGGAGGGGATCGCCAACCAAATTAATATGTGTCCTGTTTGCGAAAAAATGTTACATGAAAAATTACTGTTTCGCCCAATGCCAAGCAAACATCCAATTCTTATGGAGAAATAGATTGACAAGCACAAATTGACGTTTTAAAAATTGTTATTTAATCGCATATTTTGTCCTTTTACATGGATGGTCAAAAGATTTTGCAACATATAGTGATGCAGTTTAAAACATTTGATTGATTGTTAATTCGCAGGAAGTGAATTTCCACGTTTAATTCACTGCTCCTCGAATTTTATTCAAAGAAGAAACATGTGTCATGAATAAGTATTCACAATTTGGCAACATGATCCGTTTTACCTGTCGTGTACGTGTTGTAGAGATCGTATTACACAAAGCCATGCTACATTTTCATGTAAAAAATAATTCAATATTATTATTAAGTATCTGATTAATATATAAAGTCCACATGCCACAAGAGGCATGAACAAAGTATAAATACAATGAGACTGCCTGTATTAAGCCGCAGTATTAATGTAAATTGACGAAAATATTATGTAAATTCCGTCTCTTATTATTATACGCATACCCGCCATTGTGCTCCGGATAGACCTTGAAACATGAATATGATGGGGGCCTCCTCAACCGTTTCGAACATCTTGTACAGTTATTTTAATATTAAAAGGAGCAAACTGATTTGGACTGGATCGCTCGAAACTCTGAAAGCGTTTGTCCTCACAGCGATTGACGAAGAAACTGCCGAAACAACTACATGGCGCTCGCCCAGTGGCGGTAAATGGCTATTTGACAGCAAGTTGTTATCAGTTACTTGGCTAACAAAAAGCCAGAATATTTATTTCGACGGTGAGAAGGGCAGTGACTTGATGGAACGAATACATTCATTTTTAAAGCAAGACCCGGACAATGCTTCAGAAATCGCTAATCCTGCTAAACTTGATCTAGAACGGTCGATTGAAAGTTTGCTAGCTGACGATTCTGACGATGTCACAGATGATACTTTTGAAGAATCGTTCAGTGATCGATGTGATATTGCAAAGGAATTGAAAAACCAAGAGGAAAAACAAGCCAGTATAGATTCCGAAACCAGTACAAAGCACGATGAATCAAACACGAAGTCAAAAAATTTGCATGAAGAGTCCATTGGTCTATATACGGTGACAAAGTCTGGCAATCTGCAAACAAAATCAACAAATAGGCATAATCCCTTGGGAAGTAGTGCCAGCTGTAATCGTGACTCCGCTGAGATTAGTCGACTGAATTCGAAACTTGACAGATTTTCTGAAAACGTGACAAACAAATTACAAAATCTCAGCGTTGAGATAAACAACATTAAAGAGAACAAACCCTACTCTATTTTGGTTTTAGAAAACGTAGTCAATGATCTAAAGGAAGATAAGCTTGTGCTAATTAGAAAGAACGACGAACTCAGAGAACAAAACATGGATATGTCTCATATTATATCTGAATTGAAAATGGCAAACAAGAATCTGGAAAGCGAAAAGAGCAGCCTGTTGACAGCTCTTAAATTAATACAAAATGACCACCAACAAACGTGCACGAAAACAATTGTGGAAAATGACGGCGAGAATAATGTGGAATTGGTTTGCGAAACAATAGAGAAAGTGAATTCACTCAACCAAAACCTTCATCTAATCAGCCCGCAAACGATAAGCATCTTAACACCGAAGCTAGTACTGGGAAAAATCGTAAAAAGAAGGGAAAGAAATCTAAGTCCAAACCTCCAACACAAAATTCCAGCCAACAAACTGCGGATGTAGATACTTCTGGTGGTATTGTGAACACCTCTAGTTCTAAATCAACGGGGCAAGGCAAGAAAACAGTTGTTATTGCAGGGGACTCAATTGTTAAAAATACTATTGGTCCGAAAATGAGTGCTGACGATCCTAATCACCATTTTATTGTAAAGCCGTTCCCTGGAGCAACAGTCTCAGATATGGAGGATTTTGTCAAGCCATTGACAAGAAGGACACCGGACAAGATGATCTTACACGTCGGAACAAATGACCTGAGAAGTCATTCTACGCCGAAAATAATAGCAGACTCCATTGTCAACATTGTAACACAAATAAAAGAAGATTCACCAGGTACAGCCGTTGGCATTTCAGCTATTCTGGTAAGAAATGACAATAATGACCTAGCTGCTAAAGCTATTCAAACTAATAATATTCTTAAAAGCTATTGTAGTCGCAATAGAATCCCCTTTTTAAGTAATTCAAATATGAATGCAAGTCACTTAAATATGAGGGGTCTTCATTTAAATAGACAAGGTAGTTTAGCTTTACAACATAACTTACTAGGTTTTGCAAAAACTATTTCAGATTGACTTTATCCTACTCAGTCCGTTATTCCTAACTCGCGCGGGTTTAAGCTCGCGGCACTTAATGTGAGAAGCCTAGTAAATCATATTGATGAGCTGCGAGTTTTGCTTGCTACTAGCCCGATCGATGTCCTAACAATAAATGAGACATGGCTTAATTCTACAATAAGCGATAACGATGTATATATACCTGGATACGAAATCATACGTCGTGACAGGGCATTTAGAAGTGCAGATGGAAAAACGTATGGAGGTGTTTGTTTTTATGTACGCTCCAGCGTAAATTTCATACAGCGTAAAGACATGTCTATTGATAATTTAGAAAATCTATGTATTCAAATTCAAAAACCAAATTCTAACCCATTTCTCGTTGCGACATGGTACAGGCCACCAAATTCGAATGTTGATAAATTTAATTATTTTGAGACATTTATTGACATGCTTGATGCTGAAAATGTCGAGTACTATTTATTGGGTGACCTAAATTGTGATCTCGGGTCGCCTGATTTAGAGAGTAATTCGAGATCATTAATAGGCATCACTGAGCTCTATGGTTTACATCAATTGATAAGTGAACCAACTCGAATTACTGAAACTTCCTCAACTATGATTGATCATATATTCACCAATACACCAGATAAAATTGTTTGCTCCGTGTTTCTCATGTCGGTAATAGTGATCACAGCTTAATTTATGCATTCCGTAAGCTTTCAACCGGTCTACACAATAAAGGCCTTTCTACAGTAAATTATCGAAAATTTAAAAACTTTAACTCTGAAAGTTTTCGAAGTGATATTTTTTCACAGAATTGGGACGTCATAAGGGCGTATAATAATCCGAATGATATGTGGCGTGTGTGGAAAACGACCTTTAATAACGTAGTGGAAATGCATGCTCCCTTTACGGACAAGGCGGGTAAGACTTTCTAAGTCGCCCTGGATCACGCCTGAGTTAAAAAGGCATATGCATGAAAGAGATATTTTAAAAATCAAGGCTATTCGATCTAAAGATATTTATGACTGGGCTGCTTTTAAGAAAGCTCGCAACTCTGTGAACAATGAAATTAAATTTGCGAAGAAAGCCCATTATATGAATGCTTTTCATGAAAACGAGAGTAATGTGAAAAAAACTTGGGGTATTATTAATGAATTAACCTCAAGAAATCAAAATAATTCACATGTAAAAGAGATTAAACTAAATGGTTCTTCAGTTAGTGACCCCCCGGGGTTATCAGAGACGTTTAACACTCATTTTGCTAGCATTGGACCTAAGCTTATGGAGAAGATACCCTGTGATGAAAATAACTGCTCATATTTAGAATATCTCAATTGCCATATTAGTGGTAATACTTTTGAGTTGAAGTCGACAACTTCATCAATGGTTTGTTCACTTTTGGACAAACTCTGTAAATCTAAAGCAACTGGCCTAGATAAAATATCTGCTAAGCTTCTTCGCTACTGTCCTGACCTACTGTCGGAATCCCTTACCGTAATTTTCAATTGCTCTATTAATACCGGTATCTTTCCTGATTATTGGAAATGCTCAAAAGTTATTCCATTATTTAAACACGGTGAGCGTAGGGACTTGAATAATTATCGCCCAATTTCGATAATCCCTGTTGTAGCGAAGGTTTTCGAGCGAATTATTTATGATCAAATCTATGCCTTTCTTACTGACAACAATTTACTATGTAATAGCCAGTCAGGGTTTCGATGTCTACATTCAACTGTCACCGCGCTTCTTGAGTCCACCAATAACTGGGCATACAACATTGACCAAGGCCGAGTTAATGCTGTAGTTTTCCTAGATCTTAAGAAAGCGTTTGACACAGTTAACCATGGAATTTTATCAAAACTGAATGCGTATGGTCTTGGGGGTGCTGTGGGTAATTGGTTTAAGTCTTATCTAAGTGACCACAGTTAAAAATGCTATGTTAATGGTCACCTTTCTAACAATCGTACATTACTCTGTGGTATTCCACATGGGACTATTTTAGGACCATTGTTATTTTTACTGTATATAAATGACTTACCAAATTGCCTTGAGCACTCCCAAGCACGAATGTACGCGAATGATATTAATTTAACATTTGCAAGTAACAATATTGACGACATAAATTATTACCTTAATTAATCATGACCTTGCAAATGTGAACAAATGGCTTATCTCCAATAAGCTTACTCTAAATCAATCCAAAACTGAATTTATGCTAATTGGCTCACGACAAAGAATAGCCACATTTCGATCAGTTCCATGTTTAGAAATAGACGGGGTTCCTATTGACAAGGTTTTACAAGCAAAGTCTCTGGGAGTGTACCTTGATGAGAATCTATCTTGGAATATACAAATTAATGAATTAACAAAAAAGATTGCTTCTGGTATTGGCGCTTTAAAACGTGTTCGATCATTTGTCCCAGTCGCAACATTGCAATTAATTTTTAATTCCTTGGTTCAGCCATATTTCAATTACTGTTGCACAGTTTGGGACAATTGCAACAAAGCCCTAGCTGAAAAACTTCAAAAACTACAAAATCGTGCAACCTGAGTACTAACATTCTCCAGTTATGACACTAATGCTGATGGTTTAATTGAGAAACTTGGCTGGAAAAAATTATCATCCCAGCGCCAGTTTCAAAAAGCTGTCATGGTCTATAAATCATTAAATGGTCTTGCTCCTGATTACATGCATTCCATGTTTGTAAACCGTGACAGTGTTAATCCTTATTCGTTGAGAAACACTGAGAACAAACTAGCTGTTCCCAAGCCCCGCACAAACTATCTCAAGAATAGCTTTAACTATAGTGGTGCGGCGCTGTGGAACAGTCTTCTGATTGGGCTACGGCAAGCAAATAACGTGATAAATTTCCGATCGGGCTGTGCCAAATTATTTTAACTTTCCTTATATATTGTTATATTAGTTTAGTACACGGCCCTCATGAAAAGCAGGTATTATATTTTCTATTTACTTTAGCGTGGTTCTACTTTTGTAATTTATCTAATTTAGTTTGTTGCATGTTAAATCCTGATGAGAATACCGTGTGTAAATAAAGTTTTAATAATAATAATAATTATTTGACAAACTGTCGTAATATTATCGTAAATTTAGAAAACTTCCCCCTTTCCACCACCATTCAATGTTGATTGCATTCGTAGAATACGGAAAAAACGTCCAACATTGTTTTGGGGGGTGGAGAAGGGGAAACGAGTAAGTTATTTTGGTCTAACTGGTAAAAAAGCCACATTAAGGAATGTTTCAATAGAATGCCGAGGAGAAAAAAAAACACATTAAGAATTGTTTAAAAAGCTAAAAAAAATTAAAAAGCCACATTAAAAGCCACATTAAGGAATGTTTTAATAGAATCAAGCAAAGCAAACTAGAGAACGATTTCACACTGCGCCGTCTTCTCTTTTTCACGTACCCGGGTGTTAATACCCGTGCGGAATTAGTTCTCCTCCCTCGGCATTTGATGGGGGATTAAAGTAATTTAAATAAGTCTTTGCTTTGTTCATAATTGCATTGCGAATAATTGCGTTGTCCATATTCCAGTGACTAAACTAAGCATTAAATAAGACTTGCTTTGCCGTTTAACTTGGAATCTTAGTAGAGCATCAACATTGTGAACGAAATGGCTGTCGCGCATATGTTTGGTGAGTAAGCTCTATTATATTTTACATATATAATTCAAGTAAAAGCAACGAAAAGAGGCGTTGTCGCGCAATCGCGTTTTAGAATCTAATCTAAAAGAAATCAAGCATATTTGACTTCTGTGTAAAATAATTTTGTTAACTTATTGTATAAACATTATTTCAAATTCAGCGTAACGGAAATTATTGTATTTATTTTTCAAAAACCGTTTTAAATTAAAGCATAGCCTTGTAAACGTCGATGCAAGATGCAGTCGTCATTCGCGACTGCATGTGATATGGCATGAAATCTATAAAAAGCTAACTCTCTTGCTTTGCTAGAATAATGTTTTCACCTTACAAATACCTGATAACCTAAACAACATATCCACAGAAGCGAAGCCTTAAGTTGTGGCTGTTTTATTTCCTGTTTGCCAACAAAGCCCGCTCAATTCTCAGTGCTGCGAATTGTAGAAAGAAACATAATAGTCTCCATTGTTGTGGTCAAAGCGTCAAGTCAAACTAGCCCCATTGCTTGCAATTCGTTTGGCATTACGTTCTGCTTCTGTGGTCTTATTTTCTGATATCATATTTGCAAACCTATCATTAAACGTGTAAGTCTTTCTTTATAAATATTTGGCAAAAATAACCGGCAACGATCTAGATTCTGTAGAATATTATTGTAATTACGAGTGCAACAAAGAGTCATTGTAATTGTCGGTTGCAAAATCATTTCGGACACTTCAAAGCGCATACTTTTTCGGAAATAAGATTTTGAAAAGGCAATTCCAATTGCAATTGCAAATCAACAAAGTTACGAAAGAATGGAAAAATAATTTCTGCGCAGTTTTCCGTTTAAAAATTATTTATTAGCCTATGGTTGTGACGGCACGTTGTAAAGGCCATATCATGGATAGCAACGGAAGCAAAACTATATAGCCTTTCTAGTCAATTCCTCTCAATTGTCAAGGAATAAAGTATTACTATTCTATTAGATCTTAATGTAGTTATAATGTGCGCTTAGAATACAAGAAGTTCTGTACGATGCCTTTAGTATAAAGAAAACTACAGAAATTCAAAACTAACTGCTCCCCGAAGATTTGCGGTTATTCGATACTACGCATGGCAACTTTGCGAGTGCATGCTTTCAAACTATTCCGGCTAAAAAAGCGATCTAAAAAGTGGACGTTCCTGAAATATAGCGGTGCATTAAGACACATGTGTATGCTGCTAAATTGATTTGGCATTATTGATGTTAAAAGCATGTATAACATACATGGACCAAAAGAATATATAGAATAACAGTTAGCAAGACCAACTGTGTAGCTACATACCTTGGGCGGTTGCGGTTGTAAGATAAAATACCAATAAATATCTTTAAAACAACTTTTATTTGTAAATATCTTGAATACAATTACCAAGAATCACATAAAAATATTGTTTCGTTTTCAATTCTGGGAAAAGGAACAAAGTTCCTAGATTAATAAAAATAACTCATATATTTGAATTCATGCATGAGGCGCTTGATGGTTTTATATTTCAAACTTTAACTGTGTTATTATTTATTTATTTATTTAGCTTTGCCAACTAGGGCAGGGTCACCACAACAGCATATGCCAATTACTGTGGGCCCTTTTTACCTAACCCACCCTGTCAACTTTCCCTGTGGGAGGAAACCGGAGTACCCGGGAAAAACCCACGGCTTTCGGCAGAGCGTTGACTTTTACTCTTTTCACATGAGGACTGGGTTCGAGTCGCATTGAGAAGGTACTTAGTGAGATTCGAACCTGCAGCCTCAGAGGTGAAAGGCAAGTGCGCTAACCACTTGGCCACCGAAGCCCACTTTTAAAAAAATGCCGTTTATTATGTAAAGCCGCAATTACACGCGCGAGAAAGTTTTCTAGGACAAGATTTCATACGCCAAGTTTTACTTTCGAACTGTCACTCGCAAAACCAACTGGCATTCACAATAGCACCGAAACAGTAATTACTATATTGCACGATTATCCAACCGCCATATCTCTGTTGACCTAAAATGTGTCTTATTATGAGAAGGCACTTGTTCATAAGATAGTATGCAAGCTTTTGAAAAAGTGTGCTTGTTATAGAAACACTTGGCAAAGTTGACTATACGGACGCGCAAATAAAACTTGCTAATCGAAAACGCGTCATAAAACGTGTTCGTTTGTAACCGGCTTAATTAATCAGTAAAACCGGTTATTAAAAACGAACTAGTTTTCCATGGCAAGTAAATTTCCCACGTTTTCTATGACAAATATATTATTCTCGCCATTTTTGAATTTTTGTCCAAAAGCACTTTTAAAAAAATGCCGTTTATAATAGGCCTATATTCTGGGAAATCAAATACTTGGAAAAGATTCCTTTCACAGCATATATGAGGTTTTATGTTACAATCAAACCGGATTGCAAATCAACAATGCAAGTTGTGTCGCGATGTTGCAAAGTTTCGCGCAATAGCCCAACACATTTGATTTTCATACTGTGGTGCAGTAAATTTCTCCCGTCTACGTCTTCGCCGGTCATTTACAATTCCCAGCACGTTTAGCACAATAAAATTGACTTATTTGTTCTGTACCACTGCACTTAATAAATTCTCAAGTGGTTGAATTGTCTACAGAGTTCACGCTTTATATATCAACCGGTATCATAACTAGTATATTTAATTTTCTTCACATTTTTAGATATTTAGCAAAAAAAGCACTTGAAAACATTTAATATTCCAGGAAAACAAATACTTGGAAAGGTTCCTGTCACAGCATTTGTACATGTGGTTTTATATTACAGTCAAACCTGATTACAAATCAACATTACAATATTGAGACGCAATACTGCAAAGTTGCGCGAAATCGGCATCAACAACCAGTTTAAGCTGCAACCACAATAAAAAATTATGTATTTAACTTTCATAAAGATGGAGTAAACTTTCGTTTTCGCGGTTCCATATAGAACATCCCAATAAAACTCTTATTTAGGCAGATTTGGACCAAGTTTAACCCAATACAATTAATTGATTTGTTTTATGAAAAGCCTACTGCACTAGAGATAAACAATCTAGATCACAGTCAGTGAAACACTGCTTTATCCTACATACTGAGATCCATGCTGTCAACAAACAAACCGTTTAAATTTTCTTTTAATAGCAATAAACTATTATTGTATATCGTCCAGGCCTTCACCTCTGGCAAAGCCTATACAATACCCTGAAATTTCAGTTCAAAAACTTGTCCCACCTTCGTGCCCTCTCTTGGCCCCCACTTTAAACATGCATGGCCGTTCCG